GATTTTTTAGGCAATGCTTAAATATATATAGCCTCGTGGACTATGCCTGACCGACAATATGTAGCCCCGTTTACACTACAATCAATTTATCGGCACGGCACGGCTAAAATGGGTACCCGTGTCCAATTTCACTAGTGATCAGGCTACCAAAACAAAGGCCGGGCGCGGATGAAATGGGCACGGGTACCCATTTTAGCCGTGCCGTGCCAATAAATCGAGTGTAGTGTAAAATACCCCCATCTATATAATAGAATAATATATATATATATTATATTATTATATATATATGTTATTTACCAGATTGGACGTCCGTATAGCCTATAGGGAAATATTTCCCAACGTTTTTGAATTTTTGAGACCGAGGGAAATATTTCCCAATTTTTGAGACCGAGGGAAATATTTCATTGTTGGGTTGAGTCAGTGGGCAGAGACACAATTTTTTCGGCAATGTCTATTATAAATAACTATTTACAAATTACCAGTTAAAGACAGCAATGTTAACAATCACAAGCTACTATATCTACTGTGTTGTCTGTTAAGACAGAAATAATATACTAATAATGAATGTTTATGAGTGCAATGGTAAGAATATTTTCATAAGGTGAAACATATGGATGTAATGAAAGATTGAATGGAATATTCCATCTTTCATCGAATGAGAATATTCTTACCATTGCAGGAATGAAAACACTTACTTTGCCTAATTCGTAAACAACTAAGTAGACAAATTATGTGCAACACACGTGCGAGTATCACATGTGCCAGTTGAATTTGTCAAAGTCTGGGCTGCCCATGCATATGGTTTATTATAATGAATAAATTAAATTTGAAAAAATTATATATTTGATTCATTGATGTTAACATTAATTTGCCTTATAATCATGACAGGTATTATTATTCAACTATATGCAACTGGTTCTTCATTTTTTCAATTAAATTATTTATCTATGACAGCAATTTTTCTTACATGGATAAAAACTTCTAATTGTAATATTTGCACAAAGTTGCATAATTTTTTCATAAAGTTGAACTATTTGGGTATGAGGCCAATGGTGCTTTATGTTAAAGATCTGTTAGATCGAGCGTCAATTTTAGAGCATAGAAATTCCCTATAAAAAATAGTGTTTATTCTTGTTCTGTGAAAGTCCCATGCAATTCATGGATAAGTAACATACAACAAGGTACATTATCTATAAGATTATATAATTAACATTCACTAGCTGTTAAGAATTGGGTTGCCCAGGTGTTCTAGCTATAATTGCTGCAGTAAAAAATTCACAGGCTGCTATCAATCCAGCCCAGGAAGTGTCATGGCATGTGCATGAAGTGTGTAATTTGGGAAAATGTGAGGACATGCACAAAAATAATCTCTAGTTACACGTCTGATAATATCTATTCTGCATAGGTGTTGAGGTGAATTATTCTAAATGTTGGCCTATGTCCACTGTAATTAAGATCTACATCATGGAATGCTGTCAATAACATATGTGTATAATTTATATGATATTTCATATTCAGTCCTGCCCAGGAAAATAAATGCTGCCCAGGACATCCAGTTATGCTTATTCGTTTTATGAAGGCAAGAAATTGCCACAGAGCTGCCATCGATCAATCCAGGAAGTGTCGTGCATGTGCATGCATGAAGTGTGCAATTTGGGAATATTTGAGGACACAAAAATTAAAATAATAATCTCTAGTTATACTTCTGATAATATGTATTCTGCGTGAATTATTCTAAATGTTAACCTATGTCCACTGTGGGATCTACATCATGGAATGCTGTCAATAATATAATTGTGTGTATATATAATATTTCATATTTAGTTCTGTCTATATGAAGTTGCGATATTTGTTTGCGTACTTACCGCGTACAAAAATGGCTTGTTCTTGATATCAACTCCTTCTTCGGTCTTTACAAGTATTAGTAACTCCAAGTCTAGGTCCACTGTCAACACGGAGTAATCCACTCCAAACTTACTCATGAATTCTGCAATGTCTTTGATGTCCAACTTTTCACCTTTGTAGTCAAAATCATTGAGCATTGGGTGCAGAATTGAAACTAACTTATTTCTTGCATCTCTGAATATCTTTTTACATTGCACGTTAACTAACCAGGACGACATGAGTTTGCTAGCAATTCAACGGAATGCACTGGAATACAAACAGCCGAAAAAAGCAACTTCAATTTCAAAGAAAATTTACAATATGTCTTCGTCAGTCGCACAGAGGAGATATGGACAGAGGTCGCTGGTTTCCCAGAATTTGCCAAATAAACGTCATTCTTACGTCATATCCACGCGCCACGCAACCACCGGATATACAGGGTGTCCCAAAAAAATGTCCCCTCTATTGAAATCAAGCCTTTGTTAGAATCTGATTGCCTTAATATTATAATAAACCCAATTGAAAGCAAGACGCTTTGTTTGAATGCCTCAACCTAATAACTATGCTATTTACACACTACTGCGTTGATCATGCATTCAAATTCCAACAAAAGCTTCATTTCAATAGCGGGGACTTTTTTTTGGGACACCCTGTATACGGATTTCGTAAAATTTGATAAAAACTCCCCGAAAAATTTTTTTAGGGAGTTAAATAACTTATTTTGTTAGTGCTTACAGCCGGCTCAGACATTCTTGATTTTAGTAGAATGCATTTTATGGACCTATTTTGGAAATGCGGATTAAAACGGCTCTTTGCTAGGAAAAAGCGTAGAGCCTAGCGTGACAATGCAGGAATATTTGTTTTATTCTGCAATTAATACAACTTTTTTCCATCTATAGTCACTTGGAATTAAATAAACTTAAACTTGTAATGTTAAACAATGTCTACCAAATGTATTTTGCGATGAAATTTTAGCTTTTAAGATATCCGTTTCGTACAAATATTGTTGTCAAAATTGCACATCGCAGTAAACCTGTTCCGTTTAAAAGAGAATTTGTTTCCAATCCGATCGGCAACTCCAGTTGTAATTCGTAAAACAGTTCACCTGGTTGAATTTAAGATTAATTCCATTATAATTCCATAAAAAAACACATTTAAAACCATGAAACAAACAAAAATTAACCAAATTTCTTTCAAATTCGCTCTGCATCTGCAGTGATCTCGCGAGTCACGTGCGAATGAAGCCAAAAATTTGCGAGACTTTACCTCCAGACGCGCGTGTCTGGAGGTAAAGTCCCGGAAATTTTAGCTTCACGAAAACAATGAGGAGGTATCGTTCCAGTTATTAATTACATGTAGTTCACTGCTAGCTGCTGGTAATTATGCGCTGGCCGCGCGGAGGTCTGCTATCTAGAACCCGATTAAAAAAAATACCGGATTTAAAGCTTGCTATGCTACGCATCGCAAGCAATACGGGATTTATTTTATGGCATACAGTATTTAGTTTATTTATTTATACAATGTGCTGCATCATTCTTGCCGGCTCTTTCGCCAGGCAAGTCGCAAAGCAAGCACTGAAGTGGCTTCCAAGACTTTGTTTTTTACACGTTATATAAGAATGATACAGTAATATAAACAAAAATCAAAGATGAATAAATATAATATTCACATGTACCAAATAATGTCATATCATATAGCTAAGTAGCGTAAAAGATTAATGGTATTCTTTTTTTGGAAATGACACACGTACATAGGATCTCGTTGTGTGATATTTCATTTGCATTTTAGTAGGCGAGCGCAACGGAGCTAGGCCCTGGGGACGAGGATGTAGGCGAGCCGCAATTTGACGAGTTCATTGTGCCTTTGTTCGTACACATTTCTCATGTATTTTAGGTGGCTAAGATCACCTCCCCCCTCACCGCTACCGCTCTTATTGTACGTATATATTTACTTTTAGTCTTAAGGCAACAGTTTTTCTCCCACCATCTCGCTGCAATGCTCTTATCATGGCTACTGTATCTTGCGCGTCAGTGTAACTCCTATTAATACCAGAAAACGTAACCAAGGAGACGATAGTACATGTTTGATGACGTGAGAAATACTTTATGAAGAGAAGTTCACTTGAGAAAACCTCCACGCGTATATTTGTTAATGGATACAAAAATCGTTGTGTGTTCGATTTCTATTAATTTTAGAAACAGTGAGTGGAATTGAATTTCTACTGATCTTATCTCACTTGAGGTAAAATCGTATGAATTCATCTTTAGGTCGTAGTTTGGTTGAATGATTCAACACTTGGAAAGATTTACCATTAAGGAGACAAACTGAAACACGAATAATTTTATTTATTATGTTTATGACATGATCAATCTATTATTATGACATTACGATGCAGAGCCGAAAATTTTCACTAAATTATACCATAAAATATATAATTTTAATACACTTTTATGTATATAGATGTTATAAAGAAAATGTTCGCGTTAAAACAATGTCCTTATTAAAATGTAAGTTATATGACATGATCAATCTATTATTATGACATTACGATGCAGAGCCGAAATTTTTCACTCACTTATATCATAAATATATATAATTAATACACTTTTATGTATATAGATGTTATAAAGAACATGTTCGCGTATAAAACAATGTCCTTTTAATTAATGTGTTACGCGTGTCTCTCTCTCCTGAACAACAGAAACAGAACCACTTGTTACTTCACAAACTTCAAAAACCCTACACCTCATGTCTGCTTAAACTGTCGCGGCAATAGAAGCGTTTCGATTCATTTAATCAAATTTATCAGTTGGCTTACAGAAATCATAAATATTTTAGAAAACTCAGTGAAAAGCAAATGAACTGTTCAATAACGTCTGTTCTACTTCAGACAAGTATATACTGCTTTCTATATACAGTTTTTTTGTTAAGAATGTTTGTTTATACTTTATATACACGATCATCAAAGGTAGGTGATGCTTCTCTCTCGTAAAACGACAACAGGACCATTTGGATGCGATACTAATCGGGCATACTTACCTGTAATACCCCTATCAAAAAACGAAATGGTTTCCAGCTCTTCGCCTGCTTCGGGATAGCGCAGAATGAAAAACGAATCAGTTTTCCTTAGCCTAGTTAAGACCAATATTTTACAAATTACGTAGTGAAATGCCACGCTCCAAACAAAATGATCTTCTGGGACTTTTATTGTTCTATTCAGATTTCCTTCCTTGGTGTATATTCTAACCGTCTCAGAAACACCTGTTAGTACCATGATTTCATTCTGATGGGAAATTCTCAATGAAAATCCCCAACTGACTTCATGTTCAAACTCGCATTTCAATTGACCCGTTTCAAAACATAAAAAAAGACCGAGTTTCTGGAGGATGATATCTTTGTTTTTGCATATCGCGATCCAAACTTCCTGAAACGCATCTTCCGTCCAGAGAGTACCCAATCTGTTTTCTGCTTTTATAGTGTAATTGTCGTTCAATATTGTCAACAGGAATCCGCCAGTAAAAAGCATTCTCACCACGTAAACATTGTCGTTGACATCAACAGCAAGCGCCATTGGAAAATAACGTCCAAGTTCAGGTACTTCAACCCGCTTAATTTCTCCTGTCCTAAGGATGATGATGATGTCGTCACCGGAAACAGTAAGAACTTCCCCCTGACTGTTCACAGCAAACTTGTACATTTTTATATTTTCATCGAGGTATTTCAGTGTGTGCGGAGCATAAAAACTCAAGTTTTGCAATTCCTCTCCCATAGACTTGCTCGTTGAAATTTCTTTCCAATTTATTATTGGGTGGAAACTATGATCAGGAAGTTCAATCGTTGGCATGCAGGCGGGCACTTCAAATAAATACTTTCCGCCGAATTTCCCAACATATTGAAACAACACATAGTTGATTAACATAACCGACTTGACGTTTTCGACTCGTCGAGTTTTATTAAACAACGATTTGACTCCACCGTTCAAGTACACCGAGAATATCTCTTGAATGGCTGGTAAGCTATGAAGCTTCTTTAAAAACAACAAACACCCAGTGACTGCTGTCTCAGGACTATCGAGATGTTCCAGTATTTCTGAAACTATTCGTAGCTTCGCAGCAAAAATTCGATCTTCGATACTAAATGCCTCATTCCTGAAAGCAGTGGTTGCTGTCTTGCGCGCATCTTTGAATCTTTTTTTAGCAGTTTCAAACTCTCTGTCCGAGTTGATTTTAAGCTTTTCCATGGTGCGAGGAAGCTCTATTGCTTGGTTTAAGATACCAGACTGAATACCGCTAGAAAGTTCACCCGCTTCGTCCTGAGTTTCGCTCGCTTTTTGCTCGGGATTTGATTTATCAAGAGAATCACTGAGAAACCCTACTCCTTCTTGAAAGAAATCGTAACTGGCGAGTAATGTTGATCTAGAAAGGCCATCGATTTTAGACTTAATATCATCTAACTCGCGTACGACAATCTTTCGAATTTCTGCATCGGTTACATCGCCGTCTTTGAGTTTGTCTGCCGTCGAATCTCGAACCTTATTCCATAATAAACCAACTGTTGAACTGAGAATACTTGTCACAATTAAAGACATACCAAGTTTAATTTATTTACCCCAACAATGCTAAAGTTTGTCCGCTATAAACACAAATGCCGAACAGATTCATTCTTGCGTTGAATTCCTCACAGTCTTGTGGTATATATGTTCATCCTGTAATTGTAGCATATGGAAATTACCCCCTAATTTTCTTTGTCTGCAATACGTTAGTGGGTTATTGTACAAATATTCGAGTCACTTCATTCGAAAAGCTGTCAGCATCATCTTAGGATATTGTTGCTTTCCAAGATATTGAACTGCGATCAGAGAAAATCATTATTTCAACAATAACCACGTATTTTTAGTGATGCATGCAACTGATCATTACGTGTTCACTATTTGAAGGACTCGGTGGGGGTCCTCACCCGATGCATCATATTCAAGTTTATCAAACAAGTTCCAACCTTGGCGTTCCTACTTGAAGAAAGTTATTTCAAAGGAAACTTAATAATTATTGTTTGCGTGCATGCATGTCGGAGACTAAACATCTTCAAATATGGAGGCGTGGGTAATGTCTACAGTACATTAGCGAAAGAATAAGCATGACTGAAATAACACATTAAGTTTGTTCAATTACATTTTAATGATTTCATGAGACAGCCTTAATAACCACGTACCTATATGAATCACGTACCCATATGAGAAAGCTTTCCTATTGGTTGATGATAACAATAAAACACAATGAACTATATAGAAATTGATTTTTAAGAGACGATCGAATCATAAACACTGTTCACTATTGTTACAAAAAGCCAATCAAAAAACTTTTTCATATACAGTGTGTATAAAAAAAATTCGAATCCAACTTTGACAGGCTGCTGTGTATAAAATACTAAAGTAAAGGATATAATTTTTATATGGCAACAAAGATTAGCTTATTAGTTTACGATTATACCGTTCTTATATCGACACGACCAAAACTAGCCGAGATATCGTCTTTTAAAAATTGTTGCTCGAAATCACATTTTTCCACCGATGGAAATTTAAAAGAAAATGCAAATTTAAATAATGGAGGCATTGTGTTCTTCAAACTTCTATCGTTGAACATTGAATAAACTTTTAGAATTTTTGAGATTAATTTGAGTTTTAGTTTTCAGTAATGATTAGATTTTAAAGCCCTTCGAGTAGTATACAGAAGAGGGGTTCTGGAGCGGGTGGAGCGGGTGGAGCGCCTTGCTTCACACGTGACGTCATTACCGCCTTATTATTTTAAATTTATTCAGGTATTTGCTAATTTATTCAAGATTATACGTTGTCAATGCTGCTCTTTGAACTCGTTCTTCGAATAAACCGGCGTTTGTTTGTAAATGTTTGACTTTCATCCCAGATAGGTATCCATCTTTCTTTTGCCTTTTCCCGTCAAAATATTGGCATTTTCTGCAAATTGCACATTAACCCTTTCAACCGATTTTCTCAAAGCGACAAGGTTTTAAACGGGGATTTCATATAGCATATGGCATAGGACAATGGCAAGGGTCATTAAGGCCGGCATAATTGAATATATGACTGAACACATTGTCAGCTGATGACTTTGTCCAAACACGTTTATGCATACATTACTGGTAATAGGTTTGAATGACAGGACGAACCTGAACATGTTCGTCTCCAAACAAAAGGTAGCTTGCACATAAATATCGCACATCGAACAGAAATTGCCCGAGAAAACACAGCAATGGAGTGTTTACATGGAGTGCCTGCAAACTCAATCTCTACGAAGAAAGGGAAGTTTTGGGTTTGCAACAAGAACAACCTTAAATGCTGTGAATTATTTTGCCCTGAACAAGATCGTTCGCTATTTGATACGGCTATGATGATGTGGAGGGCGATTGGCGCGATTCATCCGCTGTGTGATACCCAACAAAGAGCGACCAGGATGAGAGTTGTGAAGGATTTAAGTAGACGCAACTTTGGGAGACCGTTTTTCTCGGGAACAGTCAATTTTTAACGAAAGTATGCGCGGCCTCCACGCGAGATGATGTGCGCACAAGTGTGTTATTAGGGAGCTATAGCAGTGACTACGAGTACGACTACGAGTACGAGATTCGTCATTCTCGTGCGTTGCTTGTTTACGCCATCAGCCAAAACTCGTAGTCGTTGGGCTTTTGAGTACGAGTTTTTTGGCAAATTTCGTACGCGAAAGCCCAAAGACTACGAGTTTTGGCAGATGGCGTAAGAAAATATTTTATTACTCAAATTACACATGTTACAACATTGAGAATATTTCTTTCAATACCACGAGGACTGTTCATTTTAAAAGTTGATTTTTTAAATGTTCTTTGTATGCTTTGTGATGACTGTTCTCGTTACTTGTAAATTGTTCTCTTGTCGTTTTAACCGTGTACTTAACGGTAGACGGCTTGGTAAAGGAGACAATAAAACCTGACTCGAGTGGGTCATTTTGGTATGAGTTTTCTTTCCAAAGAGATAGCTGGTTCAAGATACTTAGAACATATCATTGTCGTCGTCATCATCATCTCTGCCTTTATTTTCCTACACATATTCAATCTTGTAATCGTTTAAAAGACACTTAGTAAGAAACTTTCTCTTTTCAACGGCAGCTTCTATTGCTTCTTCTTGGTCAAAATCGTCATTTGTAATAAACGCATCTTTTGTGTGCATTATTTTCTTATGTACCGGATCTTTCTTTAGTTGCCTCATCCACAAAAGGCGCTCTAAATAGATATTTTCTAATTCTTTCTGGATCGGAGTCTAGGCATAGCATTGAAGTAAGCTTTCTCTTTAGCAGAGTGCTCATCAAAACCACTGTTTATAAGGCTTTCTTTCATTTCCTCGAAAACCGTGTTACTTCTTTGTTTTGCTTCTTTTATCAACCGTATCCAGGGATCCATTTCTTCTTCACATTCTGAGTCAGTTGTCGTCGAACTTCCAGATTGCTGAGCGGAAGTGGTCGAGACATCATTTTGGAAATCACTTTCTTGACTGTCCGAGTCTGTTTAAGACATGTTTATTTCTTGTTCTCGTAGTGGGCAATACTCCCGTTCGTGTCTGCGCTGATTGTAGCTGCAACTGAAGTATCTTCCGCAAAATTGGCAGCTCATCCCCTTAGCACTAGAAGTATGTAAATGTCTTGTTATCGAGCAACAACGCAGTTTTATGAGTAGATGTCTGCTCATGAGCAGTTATGAGCATGTGCTCATCTGCTCAACGGTACTTATTCTAAGGCCAGCACATGCACACAAACTAAAATGTTAGCCATCCCTTATGTACGTTCTTCGTTTCCTCCGAGGTAGAGGTTCTTCGTTTACGACTAGACTGCACACGCTTTAATTTTGCAGTGCTTAAGTAAACATTAAAGTTTCTCTCCATCTCTTCTTGGCGCTCTAATAAATTTTCCAGACACTGCTCCATATTGAATTCCTTTGGTTCTTTACTATGTCGAGGTACACATATTCCTGTCTCACTCCACTTTAACCATTTCTTGCGTTCCTCTATGCCCACACCGTGTACTTGGTCGAGATGATTTGCCAAACTTGCTAAATTTGTACTACCACAGCCAAACACAGGACAGTTCCTACGCGTGCGACGCATATTTCGATGATTGCTCAACAAATTCCTAATAATAATTGGCTCATTTTTTCGTGGGTCAGGTATTTTATTAGGCCCGTTCGGGCCTTATATGGCCTTATATGGCACTATTAGGCCCGATGGCCCGATTGCCGCATGACTGGGCGTCCTAACCCGGACAAGCCCGGCTTGTCAACGCAAACTCTCACTTACGGAAGACAAATTCAAGCGATCTAAACAAGAAAACAGTGTAGTGCCCGGACAATATGTTTAAAAGATTTGTAAAATTGTTCTACTTAATTATATTGTTACAAGCATTAATCCCCGTCTTAATTTATGCTCCAAGCATCGCGTTGTCCATAACACCAACAATATATATTTCGCTCTAAAAATGTATACATTTTCGCATTCGCCAAACCTTCTTTTTCCTCCCTTTGTGGAGTTTGGGCCTGAAATATCTCATTGAGCAGATGAGCATCTGCACAAATATTCCATTAACATCTACGGGAGCAAGTAAAGCAGGGAGTGCAGGGAGAACAAGCCAACATGACAAAGTTGTCAACGTCTTCGCAAGCTCAACCAATACTAACACGAGAGGAAATAATTTCCTACAAGCACATGCCAAACCTGGCAGAATTACCGCTTGGTTCTATGCACACCCTTGTTGGAATCAGACAGTCGTTCCAAGCTGGGTGCTTGCAAAGCCCTCGTGTTCCAACTAAATCCGATTCCAACAAGGGTGTGCATAGAACCAAGCGGTGATTCTGCCAGGTTTGGCATGTGCTTGTAGGAAATCATTTCCTCTCGTGTTAGTATTGGTAGAGCTTGCGAAGACGTTGACAACTTTGTCATGTTGGCTTGTTCTCCCTGCACTCCCTGCTTTACTTGCTCCCGTAGATGTTTAATGCAATATTTGTCCAGATGCTCATCTGCTCAATGAGATATTTCAGGCCCAAACTCCACAAAGGGAGGAAAAAGGGGGTATGGCGAATGCGAAAATGTATACATTTTTAGAGCGAAATATATATTGTTGGTGTTATGGACAACGCGATGCTTGGAGCATAAATTAAGACGGGGATTAATGCTTGTAACAATATAATTAAGTAGAACAATTTTACAAATCTTTTAAACATATTGTCCGGGCACTACACTGTTTTCTTGTTTAGATCGTTTGAATTTGTCTTCTGTAAGTGAGAGTTTGCGTTGACAAGCCGGGCTTGTCCGGGTTAGGACGCCCAGTCATGCGGCAATCGGGCCATCGGGCCTAATAGTGCCATATAAGGCCATATAAGGCCCGAACGGGCCTAATAAAATACCTGACCCACGAAAAATGAGCCAATTATTATTAGGAATTTGTTGAGCAATCATCCAAATATGCGTCGCACGCGTAGGAACTGTCCTGTGTTTGGCTGTGGTAGTACAAATTTAGCAAGTTTGGCAAATCATCTCGACCAAGTACACGATATGGGCATAGAGGAACGCAAGAAATGGTTAAAGTGGAGTGAGACAAGAATATGTGTACCTCGACATAGTAAAGAACCAAAGGAATTCAATATGGAGCAGTGTCTGGAAAATTTATTAGAGCGCCA